GATGAAATAATTTCTGTGATTGAAGATGAAACTCAATCACCGCATCCACCGCCGCTGCAAGAAGAAGTTGTAACAGAACTGACTGAGGTTGTGGAATCTGAAGGTGGATCCGCTGAAGTTGTGCCTGATTTCGTTAATGATAACGTATCGAATGAAAGAAATGAAGAAATAGTTGGCGAGGAAAATACAGAGGTACCTGTGTCAAATAATGAGGCAGAAGACTATGATCCTGGACAAACTGAACTTCAAGAAATATCTGTCATTTCATTAGATGATGAAAAAGTTGTTGATGATAAAGATACTAGACTAGACTTAGATACGGCAGCTAATCAAGAAAATACAACTATTGAAGGTGATCTTGGACAATCTGATCCTGAAGATTTTGATATGTATTCAACAAGATCTTGATATACGTAATTCTGATTGGACGAGTTTTGTTTTTCTCTTGCTTGACTTTTTTTAAGTGTGAAACTTTATAATTCTATTCTTTTCTTTCAACATGGGAGATTTTGACCAAATCCCCGGGGTGTCAACATTTTTAGCGCGCTTTTTCTGCAGTAACGAGCGCGCGCGGGATACCACAGAGCTAGCGGGAATCATGGAACACCCCAGGCTACGCGTCAATCTTGGTCGTGTAATGAGGTTTGACTCCTTCCTTCAGAGTCAATCACCTTTAAGCTGTGTGGAACTCTCTTGTCCGACCACAGTAGCAGGTTGTTGTTGCTTTCCGTTGTTCTCTTTCTCTTGATTAACGCTTTCCAAGCCAACTCACAAAATCCCACGCACACACGATCAGGGATCGTCTGTACGCACACACTGAACAGAAGGGCACATGTCTCGGCATAAAGCCCTGATCTAGCATGACGTCACGTCTTAGCATCCGACGACGCCAAATAACCAGGGCTGTTCACGGTTCGTTTTTTTTCCACGTTCCGAACCGTGAGATTTTTCCTTGATAAAAACCACTCAGCTCCGTGAGTTTCTAACCTCGGATAAACCGCTTCGCCCTGCTCCATGATGTTTTGAAATGAAAAAAAACGCTTCGCTCCGAGCCGTGGAATTTCATCAAAATGAAAAAACCGGTCCGCGACTCGGTTTTAAACCGTGAACAACCCTGCAAATAACCATGGTCAACCACGATCACATGACTACCTCCAAATACCATAGCACTAGCCCACCCTGAGTGGTCGTAGATGCAGATACAGAAGCAAACTTCGGAGGCACTCTAAATAGTCAATCAAGATGATGGCGGGATGGATCGAAGATGCGACAACTCAAAACCCTCACCCGCACCTCTGCGTTAACCAAACAAAAGAAGCGGAACCAAGAATACGAAAACAAAGGAGCCGGGGGCAGCAAAGTCGGCCGGGAAAAAGGCACGCGGGGTGCAAAAAATAGCCAAAACATGAGAACCGAAAAGACCGTAACACGAAGTAACGAAATCGTGGAAGGGAAAATCACAAACGGTCTCGGACGGATGAACAGGTCGACCATGTACGCAATCAAAAGCAAGCCAGAACCTTGCGGGAAGGGGGCTACGATACGATCGAGTGCTGAAATGAAAAACAATTGCAACGAAAACCTAACCTTTAATGCCTTGCGAACGATATGGAAAACAGCAAAGAGTTGACCAAAATCGAGAAAAAGCATGGAAAGAGGGAATTTCCAGGGAAAAACAATTGAACAACGGCCAACGAAACGGGCAGGACATAAACGCCATAAAAAAAAACATTCGCATGTCACGAGCAACGCGCTTGCTTGCGATCGGGGGGGGCGTGCAAAAAAACAATCCTACACCCGTACGTCAAGGCCATTTGCATGAAAAGAAAATGCTAGAAAATGTAGCAGTAAGGAACACGTTGACCGTGGCATGGAATAGAAGCACCGGCGGAACATCGGACCATAAAAATGCAAAGCGAACTATAGGCGGGACGTTAACGATGCGCACAGGGGGGGTGGCACCACAATCAAGAGCAAACCTGCATGTAGGTCGCATTGAAAAAAACGGTACAAGGGGAGCGAAAACTTTCGGCAACCAACCGACATGTGACAAACGGCGGCGGGAAAGTACGCCAAGGCAGGAGCCAGTCTCAAGGGGATTGAGAGGGCGAGCGAAGAGCAGAACGGGGCAACAATAGCCAGTCTCAAAACCAATCGAGAGGGCGAGCTAGAAACATACGTAAGCAATAGAAAACGGTACAAGGGGAGCGAAAACTTTCGGCAACCAACCGACATGTGACAAACGGCGGCGGGAAAGTACGCCACGGCAACAGCCAGTCTCAAGGGGATTGAGAGGGCGAGCGAAGAGCAGAACGGGGCAACAATAGCCAGTCTCAAAACCAATCGAGAGGGCGAGCTAGAAACATACGTAAGCAATATAGCCAGTCTCAAAATAGATCGAGAGGGCGAGCGATCACATGTCTATCTCCAAATGCCAACAGTTGCGAGGAGGGGGGGGGGTGTATCGTATGGTACAGTATGATACGACGAACGATACTAAAGCCTGTACAATAAAGAGTTTTATACGGGTTTCAGAATGCGGCACGAAATCTTATACAAAAAAGAGTATTTTGGTTTTACTAAGGACACACTTAAATCCTATACAGTAGAACGCTGCAAGTGAGCCGCCTAAAGTGGCTATGCTGTGTGCCAGTCTTGGCCCGGGGGGGGTGGGCGGGGTGTTCCACGGTTTCTACATGGAGCGCCCCTTGCCCTTCTCACCCCCTGACCAACAACACCAACTGCAACTGCGTGAACTTGTGTTCTACACGCACGCACGCTCGTTCGCGCGACTCGCCCTTCCTAGCAAATTCGCGCCATGCGCACCAAGACACGCAGTTGTTAACATACCAACAACAATCGAGAGATAGACCGACTCCATTATCAAACATCCCTCTCTTGATCTTTCACTCTTCTTCGCCTACTTGCGCCACCACGCTACGATACTGTGAGATTACAACACTCGCTTCATGATGGGAAGGTCTACATTTAACCGTGGTACAATTGTATGTGTAACAGTAGTGGTCCCTTCCCTTCACAAAAAGGCCGCGAGATAAATGCGGTGCCTCGGTGCAATATGTACCGGCATGCAAGGGTTGACTGCTATACTCTTAAAATAGAGTGGATGACACTCGTGCCGGCCGGTTGCAAGCGGGACAGACCATCGGTCGAATCCCTTTGCTCTATGCGGCCGAATACATCCACGAAGACTGCTGTCAATCGCTAACGTACTTGTACACGGGTGTTGGTTTCCCCTGTACTGCTGCACACACCCAATGGCAAACAAGGCCGCCGAAACCTTTCCGGTGCACGAGTTGGTCTTGGTACAGACTTTCGTGATTGGGCATGTGCATGGTTTTATGCATGTGTGCACAGGACAGAGAGGGCTGACTCAAACACCACCTTGAGGGCAAGGCACTGCAGAAATAACTATTACTTGCATTACCGTCCTTCGCCTCTCAAGATTTTCGTGAGACAAGGGCGGGGGGCACAAATACCCGGACCGGCCTACCACGTCCGCCGCAATCCAGCTGGCTAGGTATTCTAGAACCAGACATGAGTAGACGACAGCAGTCAGAGAGACCCGACAAAATTCCGTGCTCTACAGGGTGCGTGCTGCTTGCATTGCTAGACTAGGGCATGACGAGTCCTTCCCCGAAATCCATCTTGAGGCCAGTGCCTTCCATCTGCTCCATGTAGATCTGGTCGAAAGCCTCCGACTCCCTCACCGTGTACACGTCCCGCCAACCCCCGGCACCCCCCTTGCGGAAGTGGTTCTCGCCGGGCCTGGTGTTGACCTTGGCATTCTGCCTCATTGCATCGATGGTGGATGCTTGAATCGTCTAGAGGGACAGCAACGGTGGACAGCGCGTAGTGGGGGCAACTTCAGCACTACACGGATCGGATACTGCGAAAGCACACGAGGCCAACACAGCCGCCAGCTACTGAAGCACAGCAGTCAACAGGCATCTCACGACTGTACAGAGCGGACCGAACACTGGGCGAGACTGGAAACAAAATCAAGGCAGAGACGCGGAATATATATAGCGCCAAAAATTCTGCAAACCCGACAGAGTGCCATGAGACGGAAGTAGGAGAAGGACATGTTGGAATTCCACGCGGAATGGAGGTGCCAGTCGGCTAGCTGCGAGGTTGTGGCACTTCTGCTGGCACCATTGTACGGAAAACGAAGCTCCTCGGAGCAGAATGTGCCCTATCCGCGTACGCACGGGGTGTCAACACACTCTTCTTGAGGTCTAACGGCACTTGACGGTGACTGCACTGTTTCGTCATAACAAGAGGCGACGGGAGTTTATGTTACGG